TGAAAGCAAACATGGCAGCAAAGTATTTGTTCATCAACTGATGTTCCATGGTGGTGTTTTTATTGCCTCATTAAGCAAGAATGTTTTTCTCTTCTTCTGCGTAAAACTCCTGCTGTTCAACTGCCAGCAGTCAATCTCTTTCTGAACTTGTAGTCACATGAAGGCAGTTATGCTGTTGACTTTGTTTTCACATTTTATGAATGACTCAGATTCGTAATAATGTAGGGAGAGAGAAAAGGCGGACAGCTCTCCGCCCCACCTTAGCACTCTCTCAACAGCTACGCTGGATCCCATGGGTTGTGGCCATCTCTGGCCGTGTTACACCTCCATGTCTAACAAGCCCGGACATGGAGGGAGTGAGGAGGTCTAAGCTGACTGGATGAGGAGGTTTGGCCTGGGTAGGCTACATAAACAAACTACCATATTGTGCAAGTGCTCTTGTTGCAATTTTGCCAGTTGAAGTTCCCTAGAATTGCTGATGTAAGATTATGAGAACCAGATAGCATCCATTGTCATTTTGACATTTATGTGGAAAAACAGAAAACTGCAACAGTTTACACAAACAAGACAGATCGTGGAACAAGCTAATAGTTTAGCCAGATAATCTAAATCACTTTACTTGGAGAAAAACTGAAATGTATACTGTATAATACTATATACAACATATATAATACTTCATTGCACAGGAATTTCACAGAAAACTTCATTTTCCCAGTACGTCTGACCAACTTGGGGTGTTGTTTAAAACCACCTAACACCGTGTTTCTCGGCACATCTGACTTGTTTCTAGTGGCGTCACTGTTTTCCCCAAGTCTCTGCAATTAACTTGGTACAATGTTGTTATCACCAGCTAGCTTTGTCTGTTTTTTTGGTGCTGCGCACGGTAACGTACAGTGTGTATAGTGGGCTACTGGAAACAACGCTGATAGAGCAGTGAGAATGAGTCAAAACGGTAAAGTCGCAGACCATAAAATCAAAGCAATGCTGTAAAGCTGCAGAGTCGGGTGATAATTTTTTGTCGAGTTATCACTATAGCAACGCCTTTCACTTCCTGCGTAGTTATCTGAACCCTTGTTAATGTAAAAAATATTCACATATTGTCAGGGAGTTTACACTGGGCTAGGAGGAAATTCATTTGGATCAGGGCCAGAAGGACAAATAATTATTCAAGCAACTAGAGATGAGATAAACTTCCCTTCTCTGTCAGCCAGAAGAAAACAATAGAGGACATTCAATATAAGGAAGAAATTAAGAGTTCCAGTTATAGCTCCTCACTGAAAACACTTTACCAACAGCCTCTTCTCTTTTATTTGCCTTAGTAGAAACATGTTCAGTATTTTTCCCAGGCCTTGCTGGGAACTGTGGTAGCTCAGTGGCTCTGTGTTTGTCTCCAGGATGCCTGTTGGGTTTCCAGGGTAGTGGGAGTAACTTGTCTGAGCCAGGGTTGACCCAGACTTTCTCTTTGGCTAATTCCCTGAGCAGCTGATAGGCTGTGGGAGTGGGAGGCAGCAGATCCTTGAATCAGAAAGGTTATGGGAAGGGGAGGGTGAGGAAGCTTGGAAGAATGAATTTGGCCAAAATCACCAAAAAGAGTTGTGCTCTGCATTCGTGATGGTGTGTGTTCAAGTTTAAGTCATAACCTGTGCTATGTTATCCTTTGTCTTGTCCATATAAATGTCCCAATACTGCACACTGTCACCATTAAGAAATGGTTTGATCTTTTTGGAAATATGCCTTCTTGTTTTTTCATTTATACATTTAAAAGTCAAATATTTGCCTCAAAGGGCTTTACATTTCTGATGGATAGAGTGAGAAGATATACCACTCTTGTGTGTGCTGTCCAATATGAAGCTGAAGCAAGGAGACATTTAGCTTAGCACAAAGACTGAAAGCAGAGAGAAACAGCTAGCCCAGACCTGTACAAAGTCCAAAATATGCCTACCAGCACCTCTAAATTGTCTAACTAACATGTTATAGCACATTTGTCTTGTTGTAATTTTGAAGTTGCCAGGCAACCAGCACAGACCCATGTCCCTGTGCCAGGCCACTGGCTTGCCATATAATCAATTAATTGTTACACCACATAACTCCCTTTAAAACCCTGCCTTTACATTTCTGCTTGTACAGAGTAACCAAATGAGCAACGCGTTCTCATCTCAGTGAGTCATTACCGACGCTTTCAGACAGCGTCCCTATGAAACGCCACCGTTGCTAGGTCGCAGCAACACAAAGGAGGCTAAAATTATCTGGCAACAAATGAGATACGACGTATTGGTGACAGGGTTCCCACATGTGCTGAAAAACAGTTGACCCGTTAAATAGAATTATTATGATGATGATATTTGCACACTATGATGTACTATGAAATATTCACAGTTTCATCACCATATTACACTGGCATATCAATACAACCAAGTTATTGTGTTCAATACTCAGGTACACATTTTGTCCTCTGTTCTCAGTACTGTAACTTACGTGACCCACGTAATATAAAATAATGCAACTTGATAGCGCAGGACAACGCCACAGTGGCAACAATCTCATTTTAATTTGTCAGTCCCACTCACTAATCATTTCATTATCGTCATTTACTTTTACAGTGCTCACATTGCTGAGCCTCTGTTGAAAAGGTACACAAATAGTTGAAACGTCATTGAAAAGCGGCAGGCGAGCAAACGTTGATTTATCACGTCAGCTAAATGCAGTCAGTGTAACATTATCATGCAACGAGCATGGATTAGTTCAACCTCAAGCTGGTCAAAAATATTACTGTAACGTTGCGGTGGGAGTTAAACAGAGTTTCCAGCATGTTGTGTGAAGCTGTCTCCTGGTGAGTTTGTCTCTGTGTGTAGGATTCTGCTCGCACATGAGTTCTTGCACCTGGTTGCAATTTAAAAACCACTCTGCTAGTGGCCACTGAAAACTACATATAGCCACTTTAAAATATAGCATAAAGGAATGAGGAAAAAAGCAACAGTGGTTTCATAGATAAGTTGTAGCCATAGACCGCACGTCTTTAAAATCAGACTTCTGCAGAGAGGAACATATTAGTGTATCACGTGATCTCTGTCATACCAGCTAGATCATCACTGAAAATGTCCTGGAAAATGGAAAAGTGGAAGCCTAGCAGAGTTTTAAGCTTTGGAGTGAGTCAGGCTAGCTTCTTCCAGTCTTTCTGCTCAGTCAAGATAATTGCCTCCTGGCTGGAGCTTAATATTTAACAGACATATTTCATCTAACTCTGCAAGAAAGTGTATAAAACATATTTCCCAAAATGTCAAAAGATTCTTAAAAGCAATAAATAAAGCAGTATAGCTTAGCAGAATGAAGCATCACTTGCACATTGTCTTCACGCCAAAATAATCAAGAGAGAAACTCCACTCCAGATATCCACTGAGTTTCAGCAGCATAATCGGAGTTATTTGTCTCAACAAAGGTAAAAGGTGCTGCTAGTATTTGGTTTCTGACTTGCAGAATAAAGTTAGACCTGAGGAGTAGCAATAGCAGAAGGGCTAAACAAACAGGTTTGCAACCAGGTTAACCAGGTTCAAATTTTTCATCTAGTTGGGAGAATCTATCAGGCTTGTTGCTCGAGTTTCACCTGTAACAGTGATAATGTGATAAAGTGTCTGATGAACACACAGGAAATAAACTGTTAGTTTAAAGGGGAGAGTACACAGAGTGTGTTGCTAAAGGTGCCTCTTGGTATTGGGTGATTGCTAAAATTGTTCACAAGAATAGAGCAAAAACATAATTATATAGCCTTTTATGAGGAAGATGTCGCCAGATGTGAACCAGAAATGTGGGATAGCAGCAACAGTTAGAGGGTGATGCCTCCCTTAACTCCCCCTCTAAACTCTCCGGGAGTGTCGCATTCCTATTAGCTGACTCCTTGGCTTACACATTGTGCCGGCTGCTGCCACGTCCTTTAAGGGAAAAGGTCAGCCTGCTCTCCGTCTCTGTCAGCGAATGAGAAAATGGACACAGCAACACCAGATATGGACCTAAAAATACAAACACAGACACTGCAATACTGGGTGAGAGGTGAGGGGACTTGATTATTTCCACGTAGTTACAGAAAACACACATACACACAGCCTTGGTTCACAGATCAATAAGGTGGTGTAAACACGTGCATGCCGCTGGCCAGTGACTCATGTTGGTGTTTCCACACAATTGATTTTATGCTGTCTTGTGTGTGCTGTGCCTTGTGTACTTTCTTCAAGTGGAACATATTTTACCTTTCATGACATTGTGAAAGAGAACACAGTGTATCATTGCCCCAAGCTACAATAACTCCCTTATTGAATAATCCTTCAGTTTGCCAAATGAGACTCTGGTATGAAGTTTCCTTTCACAATAACCATCTGGTTTGCCAAGAGGTTGCAAGTAGTAACATAGTACAAATGATCATCCAAAAGCCGGATGGGTACAAACAGAAACCGCAGTGTGAGTAAGATGAGAAACGTGATTACCCAGCCTCAAATGTAATTAAACTTTTCCACCTTTGCACTTTGCCTTTCTTCTCATCCCTCTCTTCCTGTCTGTCTTAACAAATATTTGTCATAACCTCCCCACCCACATGCATTCCCATTAGCTCCTCCCTCCCACACTTGCTGCCTTCCCGTAAAGATGCTGCCTCACACACTTCCTCATTCCTGAAAAGCCAATAAAGAACACTGATGTGGCAACGCTCAAGCTTCTGCTTGCTAGTACTGGCTTTAGGGGCTGATCCTCATTTTGTGTGTGTGTGTGTGTGTGTGGGAAATCACTTGGAAGTGATGTTGACAAGCCACATTTCTTGTTGTTGTGGATTATCAGTCGGTGGGGAATGATTCTTTGATGATTTATGATTAACAATTTTGCATCAAAGTGATTGAGGTGCAGTTAACAGGTTTTATTAGAACACAAAACAATGCGTCATTAGGTTAAGGGTTGGCCAAGAGGAATGTAACCTTTACCCATGGTTTGAAGACATACAGTTCAAGCAGTGTGGTATGGTTGAGAAAAACTATACACAAAAACTACATAAAAGCAAAAAGCTAAAACCTCATATCAACTTGTCATAAGAACTTAAGTACACCCACAAAAGAAAAAAGACCTTTGTTAGGCTCATGGCTTTTGAGCATTAGCCCTAACCCAGCAAGACTGCAGTTAAACGGACTGAACTGCTGAAGAGCATACAAATAACCAAAATTAGTTCACAAGCCAATTGGAATCTCCCATTTCCTGTTTGTGTATGATGACAAATATCTGGTAATTACATGTATAAATAAATACATTTCAATGTATTTAATTAATTTTAATATGTGTGACAACACAGTGTGATTATTTCAGTAATAGCTGTAAATGATGTCAGTTTGCACACTGAAAATGCCAAAGTCTCAGGCTAGTCTCTGCTCCATTCAAGAAAACCTGGCTGCAGACAAGATGGCAGGCGCCAACCATGATGGTCATCCGTATACAGGAAGTCACGTAACAGCCAACAACAGGAACTGGTAACTACCACCAAATGCTTTCATTCACAGTCAGTGAAAGTCACTATGATCTTCTGGATCTACCTCTTACATGCATACTGTCAACAAAACACAGAAATTGGGACAGCTTGAGTTTCAAGCTTCATCAGCAGTTCACATTACAGTAGCAGTAGACTTCATTAGCTATAGCGACACTGTACATTATAAAGCAGTAGCTAACAACTCAAATGCATTATCCATGTAGCTGTCTTCTTCATCCTCACATACACATAAACTGTCTAAAGAAAAGTACAAAGAACCGCTTCTGTTGTTGCTGAGTCCTCAGCAACAGAGCTGGGCTGTGAAGCGATTTGGCCAAAGGGGCCACTACTGGTATGGCAACTTCCACGTGACGCACACTGGCCCAAAAAGTATTTTTCCTTTTTATCATTAGAATTTTATGTATTCATTCCAATAACATTATAAAACTGCATAAGAGCCATATGATTGAATTATTTACATGAAGTAAAGAAATTCAAAACATCAATCAATAGTCAATATACCTGGGGAGAGGAAAGTTTAGTTTTTAGTTTTCTTAATTGATCTGTCAGATATTTAGGTTTGTCATGGCTTCACATCTGTACTGATGTTTCTTTAAGAATCCCACTTGGTACTCAAAGTGACCTCCATCCAAATTAATTACAACTCCATATTTTTTTATTTTAAGGTCCATTCTAGCTCTCACCACTAGATGTCACAATTTCACCAAGTGACATTAAGTTGCAACAGCTGCTATGAATAGGTTTGGCTCAAACATCCATGGGAGAACAACAAACAAATATTGTGAGAAAGTAACTGCCATCATCAGTTAACAAATCTGTTTGTGTACGTGTGGAACTGGAGTGACCTGATGTCCACTGAACTCCCACACACTGTTCTATGATCAAAATGGAGTGAAAATTAACGTCAGTACCCGACTGACTACTTGATAAGGTGGTCCTTAGACATTTGTCTCTTTTCATCTCATTTTGATCATAGTACAGGTGTTCACTAGACAGCACGTCACCTGAAAATCTGCTGTAGCATAAAAATCTGGATATTGTGCATCTCAAAATTATAGTAATATATCTCTATTATCGTGTCCCTGTTCCTAATTCAATATTTATTTTCATTCATGGAATTCATTCATTTTGAATTACATTGTGGAAATGAGTAAATCCATAAAACATGGAGAAATAGTTGTCAAAAATAAATTTAAAATACATCTGAACATATAACTGTTGAAAACAAATCACAACATTGTTTGAAAATGTTTATGAAAAATTTAGCACCTATGTTACTGATTGAAAAAGATTTTTGGACTACATTATTGTAAGTGCTTTTTCTGAAAACAGTAAATTCATGGACACAAGTAAATACATGTATCTTCTTCTTAATGTAGAAAAACTGTCCAACATTAAGTATGAAGCATGCAAGAAGAAATATTTCCCCTACAATAAAGTTGACAAAATCAAAAAAATATACTAGGTACATTGTTCAAATCTTAGATTTAATTTAAATGAATAATTTAACATTACTATATTTTCCTACACTATTTTGCCAGTTGGCATTCCACATGTGAAAACACTGATTTTTAGTTCACATACCAATTAGAGCTTGAGCACTACATGTAAATAGGCCACAGGTAAACATCTGGTTTGGCTAACAATGGAGGCTTTAGAGAGGAGGTGAAGAAAGAAGAGGAAGAAGATGTGCAGAAGGAGAAAGCAGGATTATGTAGGATGGGGGAGAAGGAGAGGACCAGGAAGAGGAGTCAGGAACATCATAACTGATGACATCAGCGCGACTGTGGTTGACCATGTTAACCATTGGATGAGCTTGAGGGAGGCTGGGCAACGGATTCCACTAAATCTGAGCCTCTATACTATTGCAGGTATCATTTGTTTATTTTGAAACGAGAAGCTATAAGTGCTGTCCAGCGCTGGTTCTGGTACAGTAATATGTAATGACAAGGATCTGTTGCTACAGTAAAACCAATCAAGTGTTTTTACAGAACTGCAAGAAAACTAGTATCTGGTAGAACACCTTCTGGTGGAAGACATTGCATATATGATCATTGCAAACAACTGCATCACACTCAGAGACCATACTGGCACCACAATAACACAATGTTCCAAGAACATCAACAGAGTCTCTCTGCATTGGGTGAAGCCGCTGTACAGATTCCCTTTTAATATAAACTCAATTCATGTAAAACAACACACGTCCATACTTTACACATTTGGGCCGCTGTGTGTATGTGAGTTTTACTGTAATTGTGCCTAAGCAATAATAATAATAAAAAAAAAACTAGAATAAATCTCACCAACATGACTTCTTTTTAAAAATTGTATTCATGCTCATCGTTTCATGAACTGTATGATTCAGCTTTTTCATGTGTGATTATTAAGGGTAGTGGGAAATGTAGCTTCTTATCAACACACATTTCCAGAATAACTTTTCTTTGGTGGACAGTGCATGTCCTCTACCTCTCTTCATGTAATGTCGCCCTCTGCTGGTCTCTCTAGATCTGCAGCATGCTCTGAAATAATTTGGGACCTGACATTATTTATTAAGAATTAGGAACATTTATGTATTTTAAAGTTACCACCAGAAGAGCTACAACAACATACTGTGGCAACTCTGTGCTCTTGCATTGTCACTAAATTAACTGGGATTCATAATAACACAAGAGAAAAGCAAAACCATTTGTTTAAATGAAACCTATTCCATTTGAAGTTACAATAAAAATAAGAGTCTGACCAAATAAAATACTGCCCTTTTATGATGTTCCATCATTGTATACAGTATATAAGAAGAAATGTGCAACAATTTTTAATTTATATTCAACTATCAATGGGAATTTTAAAATCATTAAGCAGATAAAACTTGTCACATATATTTGTCTTCCACTATTTACAATATGCAGCATCCAGACTGGCACTGGCTACTGCTAATAACACTCTGCAAATGTTATTAGAAGCAGTAAAGTAGCCATATGCATAGCATTATGGAAACAACCACAAAGCAGCTGTAGCAACGACCATATCGACAGCCACAGCCAGGCAACCATGATTGTAGCCACTTGCTGTGTACAGTCTGAGCTTTTGAAAGGAGTAATGATCAATATATAATATAACCAGTCTTCTGAAATGAAATTCAAAAACGATAACATTTTTCAAAAACCACACCCATTTTCCTAAACTCTACACACAGATCCCTTCATTTCTCGTTGCCTTCACCATGTGCTCATTTAGAAAGCACAAACACTCAATATTGTTCACTCAAGTCAGCACAGCTTGAGCTCAGCTACCCAGGTGGAGAAAAAAAAGTCCTAATTGATAACACACCAATCAGAACCTTCAAAAGATAGATAAAGGACCAGAGTCAGTTCATTCAGCTTTGGAACAGTGGATCCAGAGAGACCTGTAACTCCACGATGGTGGAACAAGCTACCACACGCCATTAGAGCTGGGGCGTCCCTCTCTAGCTTCAAAAAGCTCTGGAAAACTCCTCTTCTGAGAACACTTTCTCTAATAATACATCTAACCCCAACATACACGACCTGTGCTCTTCTTATTTCTCCTTACAATTCTCTTGTATTGTACACGGAGACGGTATAGAAGGAGACAAATTGTCATACAACCTGTGTTGTCATTTAGGTTAGAGGACTTGTTGAATAGTCCAGAGTCCCTACACAGAACAGTGACCTGAAGTTAAAGGAGTGGCAAGCGATTCTGGAGAAATCCAATTCCATGCACAGGCCACAGTCATTGCTGCAAAGCAAACATACCAAGAGGATGAGACGTTCCCAGAGCCAGCACACCAGCTCCAGACACTAAGCAGTACTTACAGCTACAGCACCTACAGCATGTCTTGGCAAACTAAAAAGGAAGCTGCCCCACTCATCTTCTTCCTCTCCATACTCCACCTTCCCATCTTCCTCTTCTCAGAGGTGGGTGGAGGAGTGTGGTGGCTGGCAGACTGGCGACGCCTGAGGGGAGAGTGCACGAAGGACGGAGGTGAGTGAACCAGGTTAGGAGCAACGACGATCAAACAGAAAATGTGGAGAACCGGGGTAGATATACTGGCTGAGATGGAGTGATTGCTGGCAGGTGTGGCAGGCAGAGGAGGAGGCTGATGAGGTGCAGGTGTGGATCGTCAGCTGGGCTCAGGAGTGGAGAGAGAGGGAGAACACAAGCAGGGGGAGGCAAAACACAGGGGAAAGAGTGGTAGGGGGGAAAAAGGAGAAATACAGGTGCTGGTCATAATGAGAATATCACCAAAAAGTTGATTTATTTCAGTAATTCCATTAAAAAAGTGAAACTTGGATATTATATTCATTCATTTAATTGTTATGATTAAAACTGACAACTAATGAAAATCCTAAATTCAGAAAATTAGAATATTACTTAGGACCAATACAAAAAAAAGAAATGTTGGCCAACTGAAAAGTATGAACATGAAAAGTATGAGCATGCACAGCACTCAGTACTTAGTTGGGGCTCCTTTTGCCTGAATTACTGCAGCAATGCGGCGTGGCATGGAGTCGATCAGTCTGTGGCACTGCTCAGGTGTTATGAGAGCCCAGGTTGCTCTGATAGTGGCCTTCAGCTCTTCTACATTGTTGGGTCTGGCGTATCGCATCTTCCTCTTCACAATACCCCATAGATTTTCTATAGGGTTAAGGTCAGGCAAGTTTGCTGGCCAATTAAGAACAGGGATACCATGGTCCTTAAACCAGGTACTGGTAGCTTTGGCACTGTGTGCAGGTGCCAAGTCCATCTCCATAAAGTTGGTCAGCAGACGGCTGCGTTGACCTTGGACCTCAGAAAACACAGTGGACCAACACCAGCAGATGACATGGCACCCCAAACCATCACTGACTGTGGAAACTTTACACTGGACTTCAAGCAACGTGGATTCTGTGCCTCTCCTCTCTTCCTCCAGACTCTGGGACCTTGATTTCCAAAGGAAATGCAAAATTTACTTTCATCAGAGAA